GAGGCCTGTGGGGAGGCGGGGGGAGGGGGAGAGGGAGGAGATCCGGGGAGCAAGAAGGGGAGGGAGACTGCGGGCAGTCCTACTCAGGCTGGGGAGCCTGAGGGGGAGGAATTGTGAGTAGGGAGGGCCAGCCTCAGCCTGTGGGGCCATGCCCCCGGCCCACCATGAACCTGGAAGGGCTGGAGATGGTCGCTGTGCTTGTGGTCCTCGCCCTGTTTGTCAAGGTCCTGGAGCAGTTTGGCCTCTTTGAGCCTGTCTCCTTGGAAGGTAACCCAGGTGTCTGGGCATGTCTGGCCTGCTGGCTAGAAGGACAGTGGCCCGCAGGGTTGGGGAGAAGATTACTCTGACTTTATGACTGGGGTGAGGGCTGCAGGGGTAAGCAGGTTAGTGATGGGATGGGACATCTGGGGGAGGGGAGTTGGGGGAACAGGACATCTGGGAGAGGCAAAGAGGGGGACTCAAGGAGTGGACCTGGGGGAGGCGAGGAGGGAATCTGGGGGATTGGGTGTCTGAGGGAGGTGAAGAGAGAGGGCCAGGAGCCAGGGAGGTGATGAGGGGCTACAGTATGGGGGGACTGGGATTGAGGATAAGGGGAAACTGGGGGGAATGAGGAAAAGTCTGGAGACACGCAGGGGTATCTGGAATAGAGGAAGGAGGTTCCAGGGGTCCTGAGATAACACCAGACTTCTGGGGAGTCCTTTTTGGGGCCAGGGACCCACAACGGCTCTGAAGATGTGTGTGACTCGCCACACCTCCATCCTTGCAGGCGTGGGTTACAGGGTGTGTGTGGACTCAGTGTGTGAGAGATACAGGGGGTGTGGCTGTGTGTTCATGTGTGTGAGAAAGGACAAAACGTATGACTACTTGAGCCTGTGTATGTGACAGGGGTGTGATTTAATGTGTCTGAGTGACAGAGTGTGTCGCTTTATGAGATGGCAGATGTGACTGTGCCTGAGGGGCATGGAGTGTGTGGCTGAGCCTCTTGGGACATCTGATTGTGTGTGTGGCTATTCCCAGAGTTCCCTGATGATATACCAGCTCCATACCCAAGGCTAGGGATGGGGTGGGTTCTGGAGGGACAGGAGTGGGATCACTGTGAATGAGACATTCATAGACAAATCTGGTAGGAGAGTGAGGGGTGGATCGGATCAGGGACCCTGCCTCCCAAGCCACCTTGCCTCTCCCAGGTCCTCTCAGGATCTAAGGGCAGAATGGGCTCCAGAGTCTAGAGTGGGAAGTGGGAAGGCAATTCTCCACCCAACCCGAAAGTCAGGTGGGGAGAGTGATACTGGAGGTAGAGAGGGGAACATGTTCTGCCTCCCCAGGGAGTTTTAGCCTCTCCCTCTTCTTCATGCCGAGACCTGTGCAGCTCCATAGCATGGCTACAGGAAAACAGGCAAGAACCATGATAAGAGGACTGCAGGGTAGATAGACACCTGGGAGAACTGAAAAAATGTGAAAGGAGCTAGGGAAGAAGGTCCGTGAATTGCCTGCTCTAGAATTCCGTAAGAGCAGAAAACTCCTAGTCTACCCTCCATCCTCTCCTGCATTTATTGGGGTGGGGTGGGGTGGGTCGCAGGGATTGGTCCTAGATGAACTGGGATTCATCCAGTCCTGAAAAGATGAAGTCAGTCGGGCTCTAACTTTCCATCCCCTTTAGACTATTGGTTGGAAGGGGGGAGGCATTCTGTCTGCTGAAGGCACCCCCTTTCTCTTCCCACCTTCAGAGGAGCCTAGAGGAGACTGAGTCCTTGGAGCAGGCAGGGGACCAGATGGGGGGATGTGTGAAGAGGGGGAGGTTGGGAGAGACGGGGGGAGCCAACCCCGAGTCCAGAGGCTACTACACCACCAGAGGCCCCAGGCACAATCGGCTTCGGGAAACCAAAGTCCAGGCTAATGGAGCCCTGGGCCAGAGGCCAGGCCGCCATCGATCCCTCACCCAGCTCACTGCCTCCCTCCCACCTCTCCATAGCTCCTGGGGAGAGAGGACAAATGGGAGGGAGAGGAGGCGCTGACTTCAAGCAGTTCCCTTCTGGGAGCACAGCATCTTCCTGAGGGTGGAGCCGGCTTGGAAGGCAGGGCCTGCAAGGGAGCTGGGGTGCCAATCTACAACTAAAGGAAATTGGGCCCCTCCAGGAATGGACTGAGGCCAGCTTCAGTCAGTATGCCAAGTCCAGTGAGCTCTGGCCCTCGAGTCTGGAGGTGGGTGCAGCCAGGAGACAGACACACAACAGGAACTTGGAGGGTCTCCCTGGGATACAATTAGAGCGGTAGGACACATGTGTAAATAAGAGGAAGTGAGGGGAACTGTGATCAGTGGGCTCTGGGTAGTCCCACATTACAACAAAATACTCATCTCCAAGGTCTGTCATTGCCTGAAAGTTTGCTATCATTTCACCTTCAAAGAGTAAGCCATACTGGAAAAGACTGGGAAGGGACACACTTTTAGGGTGGATGAGTTCTCTGAGAACTCTGTTCTGCTGGCGGGAAGATTATAGGTGCCTTGGAATGAGGGGTTATAGGCAAGAAAGGTGGGGGTGTACCCAGGGCAAATGCAGGTTCTGTGGGTGAGGTGCAGTCTTAGGTATCTGGGTGCCATGGGCACCTAGGTCACAATATGATATGGGCATGTGTGTGGTGACCTTGATATGTCATGGTGACCACACTGTGATGTGATGTCCCAGGGTCATTGTGTGTTCTTGTGTGGTTTGATCATGCTGTGTGTAAGATGGCCTGTATGGTTCCTAATGTATGTCATGTTTTTCCCAGGTCAGTCACATTTGTATATGTTTGTATTAAGAAGTACTAGGTCAAAGTGTGTATGTCTGTGTGTGTGTGTGCATGTGTTGGGAGGCCACTGGGTATGAATGAGGTACTAGGTATCAAGCGGTCCTTGTGTGGCATCCATCACTCTGATTTATCATACTATGTATACACACCTGTCACTGTGTGTGTGTGAGAGAGGCAGGCAGCCCCCGGGTTGGACATCACCCTCAGAGGTCCAGCTGTAGCACTGGAGCCAAGGACACTGGGTCAACAAAGACTGAGGCCAATGCTACTTCCTCCCCGCCCCGGCCACCTCGCTGTTCCCAGCTGTGTCCCTTTATACAAGATGCGGAGCCACCTTGGTGGACTTTCCATGCCTGTGAAACCCACTGGACTCCCCTAACCGGCCCCAGCTACTCTCACCATTACCCACCCCCCATTTTCCCCCAACACCCGCCCCCAGCCAGGGTTGATTTGTGATGGTGGGGAGGGTACAAGGAACAGAGGGACAGTGGGGTTAATGTACCTTCCTGGGGTCTTCTCTCTTCCCAGGCCACCCTCCAGGGCCCACTAAAAAAGCGCTGAAGCAGCGGTTCCTCAAGCTGCTGCCTTGCTGCGGGCCCCAAGCCCTGCCCTCAGTCAGTGAAAGCAAGTGCCTCTCCTGTGCTTCCGGGGGTGGGGCCCGTATGTGTCGGGGTGTGACCGTTGTGAGGGGAGCCGGCCTGCGTGTGTGTGGGCGTGACCAATGTGGCGGAGGTGGGCTGGGCACTGACTGACCAGGAGTGTGAGGGGGCGTAGCTACGCAGCAGCTGAGCGGAATGTGTGGGCGTGGTCAGTTTGGAGGCGGGGCCTGAGTGTGTGGGCCATCTGGGTGTGCGAAATGGGCAGGATCTGGGTGTTTGGGCGTGGTCAGCGTGACAGGCTGAGGCCACTCTGAGCCTGTGTGAGCGTGGCCAGTGTGGCAGGGGTGGGACCAGGCGGCTGTGAGGGTCTGTGCGTGGCTTAGCTGGGGTTAGTGTCTGGCCGCCCTCCCCGCCCCTGGGCATGTTTTGGGCCTTGAGATGTAGGTCACCAGTGCCTTGACTAGATGGATGCAAGTGTAATGATGGAGCCCGCCTTCCTCCAGATGCCAGGATACTTGAGTTTCCTAGTACCAGCCTGGTCCCCAGTTGAGTGACCTCGCTTTGTCTGTAGGCCTCAGTTTCCTCATTTGGGCTTTGCCCACCTCACAGGATTATACATACTGCATCTTTGCAAGCTATAAAGGCCCGGTTTGTACTCATTATTTGAGAAGGTCGTTGTGTTTGATTCTGCTGGGTCCCACAATGGGGGTCGATTCGGAAAAAGGGCAGGGGGATGTGCTCGGGGTCCGATTCGTGTGTGTCTGTGCTCATTCGTTACGTGTGCCTCTGTGCGCGTGGGGGGCTAGGGTGTGTGCACTGTAACACGCAGGTCTGTGAGATTTGCTGTGAGTGTGAGGGGCGAGGTGTGTGCAGCTGGCCGGGTCCTCCGCTTTCTCGGTGACAGTTCGCTCCCTTCAGCATTAGCCGCCCCAGCCTCCCTCCGCCCCCACAGACCCCGCCCGCTGGACCCAGGTGACTTACTCTCCTGGTGGGGGCGGGGGCGGGGGACTTCGGGAGCCTGGGGTGGGGGCACCTGCCTGGGGAATGGATGTTGGGAACAGGGGCGGGGCTGATACGGGGCCAGGGGTGGTGGCCTTCTCTAAGGCACACTAGTGCTGTGGCAGGAGTGGGGTGTGGAGGGGGCTTGGCTGGAGCTGGGCGGGGCATGGCTCGGGCATGGCTGGGATAGGCGGGGCTTGGCTGGAGGGAAGGATCTGGGCGGGGCAAGGGTGAGACCGGGCGGATCTGAGTTGGTAAGGGGAGGCCCAGAGCTCGAACCCTCAGAAGCCCCCTCTCCAACCCAATTTTCCTACTCCTGGCCTTCTGGGACAAAGACTGGGCTGGGAGCCTTCCCCTCCAACCATGGATCAAGGGCCCAGGGGCCAGCGCTGACTCAGACCCCGGGCTCTGGGGCCAGGCCTGGCCTTGGCCTGGGCCCGCTGATATACCTCGAAGCCGACCAGCATCTTCTTGGCTCTGGGTCCGGGGAACTGGCAGGCTGGTCTCCGGCGTCGGATATGGGGGGGATGGATGGTTCAGTGATTTTGAAGAGGGGTCGTGGGGGACAGGCCTGAGGCGCGGCTGTCCCCCCCAACCGCCCCCACCCCGCAGACAGCGTGGAGGATGAGTTTGAACTGTCCACCGTGTGTCACCGGCCCGAGGGTCTGGAGCAGCTGCAGGAGCAAACCAAGTTCACGCGCAAAGAGCTACAGGTCCTGTACCGGGGTTTCAAAAACGTGAGTGCAAAGCAGAACCAAACTGGGGAGGGGCAGGGCTTATCCGGGACTTTTCTGAAAGGTTGGCCTGGAGGCTTTGAGGAGTGACAGGGGAGGGGAGGAGAAGGGACAGCTCCCCTTCCACCACAGACCAAACTTCTAGGTTCCTGCTGGTTTGAGAAGGGGCAGAGCCTGTAGATTGGTCTGTCAGTTCTGTGTTTTTTATTTGTGCGCTTGGGAGAAGTCTTTCCTCCAGGAGAAGAGCTACATGGTGAGCCCCCTGGAGACATGAAGATTTCCCCTCTCTCTGGGAGTCTCTGGACAGGGAGGGTTGGGTGGGAACCTGGGGGGGGAGGGGCGGTGAGTGGAAGGGGGTTTTGTCTCTTCCTTCAGTCTGGTTTCCTTCCCTACGCTACCCCCAGGAATGTCCCAGCGGAATTGTCAATGAGGAGAACTTCAAGCAGATTTATTCCCAGTTCTTTCCTCAAGGAGGTGAGGGGACAAGTCCTGAGAAGAAGCAGCTGTCCATCTCTAGGCTGACTTGGGGAGAGGGCTGGAAATGCCAAGTGAATGGGGTTTGAGGAGCCCCACAGAGGTAGGGAGGCAGGAAGTCCTCTCCTGTCTGGAAGCCAAGCTTACTCATCCACACTTATCCTGCAGACTCCAGCACATATGCCACTTTTCTCTTCAATGCCTTTGACACCAACCATGATGGCTCAGTCAGTTTTGAGGTGAGCTGGAGACTGTGGGCCAGGGAAGCATGTTTCCTGCGGCTTCAGGGCCAGGCCAGACCCAGAGAGAGGGTTGGGTGAAAGGTATCAGAAGACCCATTTTCCCCTGCCTCCTTCCTAGGACTTTGTGGCTGGTTTGTCAGTGATTCTTCGGGGAACCACAGATGACAGACTGAACTGGGCTTTCAACCTGTATGACCTCAACAAGGATGGCTGCATCACCAAGGAGGTACAAGGCAACTGAACAGCTGGAGGGGTTGTATGTGTGTGGGGAGGTGTAAAGGGCCCATAGGAGGGAAATGTGACCCACATATACATCACCAGCAAGGGGTGGGGTCTGCCCTAGGCTCTAGGCCTTCTAGTTTGGAGGCTGGAGGCTCTGAGGAGGGATCCTCTTCTCTCTCGGCCTAACAGGAAATGCTTGATATCATGAAGTCCATCTATGACATGATGGGCAAGTATACATATCCTGCACTCCGGGAGGAGGCCCCAAGGGAACACGTGGAGAGCTTCTTCCAGGTGCCTGGGACTGGGTAGGCTGGGTTTTAGAGTGAAGGGAAGGAGGTGAGGTCCCAGAAGGGAACTTACCCGAGTTCTGCCTGCCTCTCTCCTGTCATCCCTTCTGTTTTCCCTACCTGACTACCTTTTTGCAGAAGATGGACAGGAACAAAGATGGCGTGGTGACTATTGAGGAATTCATTGAATCTTGTCAAAAGGTACAGGGCCCTGCCCTCTACATTTCCCTGGTCTGGACTCAGGGCCTGATTCAATGATGTAAGAGAAGGCTCCTTTGGGCAGAGTACTATTTCCCTAACTCACCGCCACCTCTGAATCTTTTTCCTTCATAACTTGGGGAGGCCTGTCCCTTCCCCACCTCTCTGGGTGTCTCCTTCCTCACTGCCTCTCTCTGTCTCTGAATGTCCCCATTTCTGAGTCAGTGTCCTTCTCCCTGTCTCTGATAAGCTCTTTTTCTTTCTCTCCAATCTGCCTCTCTCCCACCACGGCTACAGGACGAGAACATCATGAGGTCCATGCAGCTCTTTGACAATGTCATCTAGCTCCCCAGGAGAGGGGGGTCAGTTGTCCTGGGGGGACCATGCTGTAGCCCTAGTCCAGGTGGACCTCACCCTTCTCTTCCCAGGTCTGTCCTCATCCTAGCTCTACCCTGGGGGCTATAGGAATCCAAGAGCCTGGGGAGTCAGTGGTCCAGATTGCTAGAGCTGAGGGGGCTATAGAGTGGGCAGAGTGTATCTGTGGGGTGTTCCCAACTCCCAACAGCTCCCCCTTCCTGCCTGAAACTCAGTGCTGAGGGTGCCCCTGCTATAGGAATTGAGTGGTCCTCCCCCTTCCACCCCCACTTGAGAAACCACAATGTCTCCTGCTATGGTGCTTCCCCCATCCCTGATCTCATAACCATTTCCCCTAAGACCCCCTTATCAGAAAGGCTGTTCTGTCCTTGGCACTGACTGGCCTTTCAGACCAGGGCCTTTGAGAGCCCTGTAGGAGGTGGACAAGAATGTAGAGGGAGTAATCTTGGGCCTGAGCCAGTGCTTAGGTCCTAGGAGGTAGCTGGGTTAGAGAACAGAAGGGCCTGGGGATTATCAGTGAGAGCATGCCAAGCTATAGCTTTGAGCTCTACAGGTCTGCCATTCAAAGCTGTCAGAATATGAATTTCCAGGCTCTTCAGAAGACCTTGTTTCCTTGGAAATACCCCAGAAAATTTCCAAGTATCCCAGGAGAGTCTGGGATCCTGGTGTTTGGCTCATTCCCTCCTTTCCTCCCTTCCTGTTTGTGTAGTGGTGGTGGCAGCGGGGGGAAGATAGGTGGGAGCTGTCTTGGCTGATACCTGCCAAAGTTTCAGCCTACCCTCTCTGATGGCTACAACTTAAGTTTTCATTTGCCATTTCCTCTCGACTTGGAGGCACAGAGTAAGTCAGGGACAACACAGTGGATGCCTTAGAAGAAAAAGGAAGGAAGGAGGCAGGCATAGATTTGAACCCAGTGTGGGGGCATTTATTAGACTCTGTGATATACCCAGGCTCTATTCCTGCCCCCCGACATAGCCTCCTAATTGACCACCCAGAGTCTCCTCTTGCTCTATTCAATCTACCCAGAGATGCCCCTGAGCACACCTTGAAGGCAGGAACCATAGGACCCAGGTCCCACCTCACTGTCAGCACCCCTGCCGTGCCACCACCCCTTAATATATCTGCTTGTCCCGTTTAGCTCACTCTCCCAGTCAGCTGTGATCTGAGGGGAGGGTCCCCAGGGAGCCCCCTTTCCTATCAGAACACTGTTGACTGCTTTGCATTTTTGGTTCCTCTGTAATTTTTGTAGAATAAGAAGTACACCGGATCCAATAAAACACAATGGCTATGCACAGGCTCTGTCTGCCTTTTTGTCTCTCCTACCCCGCACATAACTCACAACCCATAATTCATACAGCCTTTTGGATTCCAGAGAAAATGCTTCCTTTCCTATAGTATGGCCAACCCTTGGCAGGAGATCAAGACACAGGTTCTGGAAGGGTTGGAAACCTACTGGACCTCAGAGAGGCCCCCGAATCTCCCTCCCACATCCTTAGAGGAGACAAGGAAGAGAAAGGTGATTGATGTCCTGAAGACTATGCCAAGCAAGCTGTCTTTTGGCTAAACATTCTTACAAGTCAAATCCAGAATTTCTAATTTACAGACATCTTCGTTAATTTCAAAGTGTTTTCTTTTGAGAGGGGAATTCCCTTTAGTTTCTAATGAAAGTTCCTTTGTATAAACATCCCAACCTTACCTCTAGTACGGAGGTACATTTGTGTCTATACTGCAGCCAAGAATGATGGGGGAGCAGATGAAGTGGACCCAGGGCAGGTCACCGTGGAGCAGGTGACACAAAGGGTAATAGAAACTTCCTGTGCGGGGTGGGAACCTTTCTTTGTTCTGCTCCTGGAGAGGGGCCGCCAATGGTAAGTTCCTCTCATCCTTTCTCTAGGGCACCATTATGTGGTGATTAAGCTTCACTATCCATAGGAGGGGGATCAGGCCTTCTCTCCCAACACTGTACATGTTGACAAGGTCAAGGGAAGGGTATGGGTGTCCAAGAAACAAAAACTTACTTCCAGAGTCCATCATTCTGTCATCTGGTTTCCCTGCTCACATCATCACACAACTGTCTGCTCCTTAGGTCCTTGGGTTTCTTTGGGTCACAACCCCTCTGAAGGATCTAATTAAAGTTGTGGGCCCACTGTCTAGAAAAAAAAAAAAAAACCAACACACTTTTCCATATATTTTTGTGTCCCTGAAGCCCATCCATGGGCCCTAAGTTAAGAGCCTGTGATCTAGTCTACCTCTCAGCCTAACATTGTACAGAAGAAGAAAAAGGCCCAAAGAGCGGAGAGGACTTGCTCAAGGTCACCTGGTGAGTTTACACGAGGATTGATACTACTAGACCCAATCCCCCAAGTCTCTGTTCAGGGTGGCATTGGGGCACAGTAAAAATTTGTGTGTGCAAGATGGATGCTGTGCATGTCATGCATAATCCAGACAAGGTGACACTGTGACAGGCTCTCATGTTGCCCTATACTTTTCCTTCATGGCACTTCTCAGTTTGTAACTGTATATTTAAGTATATTTATTTGAGTGATTGTCTTTTTCGATACACTGTAAGCTCCTGAGGGCTCCTTGAGTGCCCAGACTAGGTTTTTTTTCCCCCTCCCCATCCTATCCTGGGGCCTGGCACATAATAGGCATTCCATAATTGTATGAATAACTGTAAGATTTGGATAAGTGGACATGGTGAGTGTATGTATATAACTGGGTTAGGTATGGAGACAGTCTATATTTTAGGGTAGATCCAAGCTTAAGGGAAATTGAAGTCTGAAGCTGAGAATTTCTAGGAAATGAGAAGTACCCCAGAATTTCTAGGAAATCAGAAAAAAACAGGAGGTTGGCATTCTGATCATTTTTTTCTGGCCACTGGTTGGATTCTGAATGTTGTTAGCTGCCCCATCTCAAAACACTCTTCTTTATTGCCTTCCAGTATTTCATACTCTCCTGGTTTTCCTTTTACCTTTCTGGCCATCCCTTCTCATCCCTCCCTTGATGACTCATCCTTCTCAACTGGAATATTAAACATTGGGCCCCACAGCTGAGACCTGAGCCTCTTTTCCATATCACATCCAATCCCATGGCTTTAAACACTATCTGTATGCAGGTGACTCCTAAGTTTTTATCCCCAGAATTCTCCTCTGAGTTCCAAGACCCATATATCCAATTGCCTGTTTGACGTATCCATGTGGATCTGTAATGGTCATACTTAACATGTTCAAAATGGAGCTTTGATTCATGCCTTCCCAGTCCTCGCCATCTCAATAAACCAACTACCTAGTTGCTCAGGTCAAAATGTAAGAGTCTTCCTTTCTTCCTCTCACTCACTCTCCCTCTACTCCCCTTTAATTCATCACCAATCCTGGGGAATTCCCGGGGGGGGGGGGACGTCAGTGGTTAGGACTCCGTGCTTTCACTGCCCAGGGCCAGGTTCAATCCCTGGACCCCTGGCTGGGGAACTAAGATCCTGCAAGCCGTGTGGTGGGGCCGGAAAAAAAAAAAAAAATCACTAATTCCGCCATCAAAGATGCACCATCTCTCTCCATTGCTGTTCCTAGTCTAAGCCACTATCATTGCTTAACTAGATTATTACTTATTCATCCATCTGAAGAAGACCCTTCCTTGCTGTGGTTACTCTTCATCATATCACTAGATTTCCTTCCTTCATAGCACTTATCACAAACTGAGTTCCTGTGTGTGTACTGAATTTGTTACTGTTTCCACAAGCAGAATGTAAGCTCTGTGAGAGCAGGACCCTATCTTGTTCATTCCTCAAATGTTTATCATAGGCCTACTAGGCTCTGATTCCTGTTGTACGTGCTGGGCGGGTGGAGGTGTGGTACAGAGAGAAAGTGTGTGGCAAGAATTGCCCTTCAAGTTTGAGAAGTACAGATATGGAAGGTGCATCTTGCCTGAGTCATAGACCCCAGAGTGTTGGCTATGGAGAGTAGATGAAATTGTGGCTGATGACTTGCTAGAAGTTGCCACAGTGTAAAGTGTGAAGCAGAGAGGAGAGTGTCATGAGACTGAGGGCTGGGGTCAGCTGGAATGACAGCTCCCAAATCCCCCAAAGGACCACAATATCCAGTGAAGCTGCTATGGCCCCCAACTGTCATCACAGGAGGTCCCCTAAGAAAATACTTGCTCCTAACCCCCATCTTAACACTCCATGATTAAAAAGAAGAGGGACTATAAGAGTCCATGGAGCTACAAGTTGGGCTACCGCTGGAGGAGTCTAATATGAGATTCAAGTGGAAGATGGACAATGCTAAGTCTTAATAATCAGAATGAGACTGAGATGCTTATTTCACATTTATACCTCACATGTAGCCACAGATCTCTCAGCCAACAAGTGCATTATGACAGAACCAAAGGGAGCCCTGAGAACATATAGCAAGGGGACCCAAGCCCATCTAGGGCCCAGGGAAGGCTTCCACAAGGAAATGATGTTTATGCTGAAGCCCAAGGGGTCCCACTTCTCCTTTACACACACTTCATACTCCCCATTCCCAAACAGGCCAGGCCTTTTCGTCCCTTCCTACATTTGTACTCTACTTGCCTAGAGTGCTCTCTTCTCTTCCCCCCATTCAACCTGGCTAACTCCTATTTAACCTTTATGACCCAGCTCGAAAGTGAAGCCAAGGCCGCTGCCTCTCCCCAAAGGAAGATGAAGTCGGTCCCTCCTCTGAACTCCCACAACACTTGGGTACACCGTGTGGGTATTATGTGTGTACTCGCTAGTCTGCACCACCATGCTGTGAGCTCATAGTGGCCCAAGAGGCCAGTACGGGGCAAGCTCAATAGGTGTCAGCTGAATGAAGGAATGTAGGAATGATTTAATTTTTAAAAGGGGTTAGCGCCAAGCTGGAGGTAGGGGGAAATGTTTCACGGCAGAGGAGTGAGCTGAGCTTCTTGGAGTGTTGTCTTCATAGAACCGAGCCTGGGTCGGGCTGATGTAATGAACCAACCTGTCAGAAGAATCTCAGTAGAAAGTAGGTCAGTTTCTTCCTGTCTCTTTAAGAACTAGAGGCTTGATTTCCGCGCCTGCGCATTGAGAGAGTAAACACCTCTCTTTTTCACCCACCCCCGCCCTATCCACATCCTTATTGCCCCAACCCAGCCTCCTCCCATTCTCCCCTTCTTCGGGTGGGGTAATGGTCCGTTCCAGGGAGTCTGGCTCGTTCTGGAGGGTAGCGAGCATACAAATGGTACATTTCACTGCCTTCATTACCTTCCGCTTTTCGCGGCTTGTCTGTTCTACTTCCCCCTACCGAATGAAGCTCAATAGGCTGGCCCAAAAGAAGGCGGGGGAGTCGGGTTGAGGGGACCGGTCTGAGCCGGTCTCCGGCGCAGGCGCACTGCGGATAAACAGGAAGCGGGAGGTAGGGGCAGCTGCAGAGGAGATCCAGGAGCTTCGGGAGGAGGCAGCGGGAGTACGAGGATTATCGGAAGGGCAGCAGAAGCTAACTGAGAACGAGAAAAGGAGCCTTGGCCATCTGCCTCCAGGGAACGAGAGGTCGCAGCCTCGCTCTCTGCTTAGGCTTCCGGCTCCCCAGCTAAGGCTGAGGCTGCGGCTGACAAAGGGCTCGCGCTGGTGCCGCCGCCCTTCTCATCCGGGCATTAGGGTCCCTGCGGAGAGGGAGGGGGAAGGGCAGAGGGGGAGGGGAAAGAGCGGAGGGGCGCGCGCTTAAAGCCGAGGCCCTTTCTGGGGCTCTCCGGGCCGGCGGCCCTACGGACGGAGGCGGAGGAAGACCTGCAGAGGTGGCGGCGGCCGGGGGCAGGAGGATGGTGCAGAAGGAGAGCCAGGCGGCGCTGGAGGAGCGGGAGAGCGAGCTCAACTCCAACCCTGCCGCCTCCGCGGGCGCATCGTTGGAGCCGCAGGCAGCTCCAGCCCCTGGAGAAGATAACCCAGCCGGGGCCGGGGGAGCAGCGGTGGCCGGGGCGGCAGGAGGGGCTCGGAGGTTCCTCTGTGGCGTGGTGGAAGGTGAGCGTTGTGGCGCGGGCTGGGCAAGAGCGTCCTCACTCCCTCTCCACCCCAGTAGTAATACGTTCTTTCCTTTTTGCGGGGGCAGGGGGCTCTAAAAGGGGGTTATTCCCTTGGGTCTGCAATTTGACCCAGCTGAAATGAGGGAAGAGGCGAGAGGATGGGCAGGTCTTTTTTCGCGTTCTGAAACGGCGTCGAATTTCCTCCTGGCTATTAACAAGCCTGACCCCACCCGCCTCGGGCTTGGAGCCAGGCATGCTCCAATGGAAGCGGTGTAAGGAGCCTTAGTCTTAGGCTCTG